AAAAAAAAAAGATCAGATAGGGAAAGCTCTGGCTTCGTGTGGACGTAGCCTAAAAATGCAGGGATTATGGTGCAAGGTGCTGAATAAAAACAGGGTGATGTGATGCAAAGGCCAAACGAGGGCATTAAGTGTTTGTTTGTTTTTTAAGTAGAAAAGTTTATCAAGACAAACTTTGAATGTCAGCTTGACCAAGTAAAAGTAAAAAGTTTTGACATTTGAAGGTTTTATAGGCTTTACAGATAGAAAAGATAGATTTGTTTGAAATATCTCTTATAGAAGATGGTACTATTTTTATATTTAACTAATTTATGAACTTGGAAAAGCTCTTCATTTCCCATAATGCCTGATTAACTTTGAATTGTAATTCAGTAAATTCCAGGTCAACTTCTTGTGGGTGTGGCCAATTAAATTCAAATTACAGGTCATGAATTAAAAGGAAGCCAGTCTTTAATTCTATAGTTTGCATAGCCAGGGGTGCACATAAGTGGTACGCAGGTGCGCATGCGCGACCAAAATAAAAAATGCGCTGTGTAAATAAGTTCTGACAGCGCATTTGCGTACCGACATGGTTGACAGCTGTTAATTCACAATTACCATTTTAGATATCAACAAACTGTAATACTGTATAAGATTTCTATTCAAACTGAATAGATAAATAAATCTAGGCTACCTGCTGCCGTTTTTTAAAGCACAGTGCAGTCGGCAGCGCTAAACCCGGAAGCACATTGAATTACGTGCCAGCAACCCGCCAAAATAAAAGCCTGCTGATTTTAAGTTTGAAAATGATGAAAATTCATCTTTAAAAAAAGAAGTAAATATTAGCTTTTTATTTTGAAGTTTACTATAAAATAGTTGTATTTGTATTTAATACTCCCTTTTTATTTTAAAATATAATAGTATTATCACATTTTATTATTTAGGTTATTATTTTATATATTAAAAAAAACTAAATAAAAAAGTGCAACAATATTATCACTACGATTCATTTATTTTTTTATAGTTGTATTTAATGGGTCACACTATGTGCAGTGTGAGGACCAAACCAAATCTCCAGGTTCTCTTATGAGAACCAGGCTGAAAAACGTATGTACACCCCTGTGCATAGCCCTTCTCTGTATTTCAAAAATTGGCCAAATGCCCTACACTGAAAAAGGAGGCTATAATGTTAAGTATTTTAAAATGTTTGCAGTATTTTGTTTGTGTGCACATTGTGTATTTTCCCATGTGATTCTGGACCTTGTTGCATATTCTTCACATCCCTAGTTAGCAAACACCACCATATTGACACACACACACACACACACACACACACAGATCTTAGTTTGCTGATATGTCTACATTATTTATGATGTCTGTCCCATATCGGCCAGGCCCTGCTGTTGCTGCTGTAGTTCCACTGAACCTCTTTCTTCTTCAGTCATTTTTCACATTCCGCCCGACACAACAGAGCTCAGGTGTCAGGCGGTGATGATGTCAGATCCAGCAGGATCTATCCTACACAGCACCAGTCACATCCGTAAACAGCCAAGTTGCTTTTAGCCGGCTGTGGCATCTGATAAAGATCTCGTAGCGAGGGCTTTATCTCTGCCGTGCTTTTATGGTTATGTGGAGGCTGATAAGTTGTGATCTCGCAGAAGTTTTATGGAGAGCTGCAGCACTCCACTCCCCACTGCTGCTTAATTGTGTTGCCTCATTGTCAAGCTTCATTGCTGACACTGGCGATCTTGTGATTTGCCGTGTTGGATACTTTAAACCCGCCATAGCGGCCCCTTCATCACTCCCTCTCTCTGAAGCCATCAAGTGGGAAATTAACAATGCAAATCAATGGAGCTGAATGGTGTAATTCTTATGATCCCCTCTTTCTGATGTATTTAGAGCATGAATGATTATTTTTGAGATAGATTACGGACGGACGGCGCCGTGAGCACTCAGGGAATCAGTCAATATCCTCAAATGGGCCTAATTCATTATTTCGTCCCTCCTTCTTTCTAAAGTGCAGAACATTGAGGAAGTGGGGTGGGGTATTTTCATTGCATTCCACCAAATGTAATATAATTTCTTTGCAGCTGCGATCAGAGGTATAATCAGTCTCAGTCTGTCG